CCCCAAAACCCCAAAACCCCAAAACCCCAAAACCCCTGCCGCTCATAAATATATTGAAACCTAATTAATTCTGAAAATGGGCAAAGCTATCAAGGGAACTGTCCTGATTACCAAGGCTGGAAGCACAGATGCTTATCCGCTGCGCCTAGGCTCCAACATAATTGCATTAGGTAGGACATAACAAAGTTTTGGCGTAATCTGGTTTAGATAAATCCGATTATTATCAAATCCCAGAGTATGGACTTAAAGTTACATTCGATGAGGAAGATGAGATCGAGCTCGAAGTTCTGAACACGCATTATCAAGCTCAAGAAATGCAGTTCCAGAGATTACGGCCTGATGGTGCCACTCGCATCATCAGGCCCGGAAGAGTGTTTCTCGTTGAAAGTGGGGATCAGTTTACATACTCAGGCAATGAAATTAAATTTGAAATAAGACATTTGAATATTCAATCGCCAGAGGAACCGAAGGCTACCCCTGTGAAGGAGAGTATAAACGGGTCTGAGTTATCTTTATTGGGAAGCCTGATTAAAACTCCTCCTCCTAGAGTAAAAAAACAGCCCAAGATGGAACTTCCAAAAAAGGAAAAGAAAGAACTTGAGGAAAATAAGGATGATGTATTGGAGGCGCCAACTCAAGTCAGGCCAGGAATTTTAAAGAAATCTCATGAAAAGAAGCCAGAAGAGCCACAGAAAGAAAATAAAGACAGACTCTCTAAAGAAGATCTTGTTGACTTTTTAAATGAAGAGACTCTGGTAATGCCAAGTAGAGCTTTAAACCCGAAGGAAATTTAAAAAACAAAAGAAAGTTGGATTCGCTAGGAGCGACTCCGAATCCGACAAAAGTCAAAAGGCACCAAGAGAAGAATCGAATGAAGAATGCAAAGAAGCATCCATCGAAGAGAAGAAAGGTACAATTAGTGAATAATTTTCTAGACTCTAAAGAGCTTAAGAAACCAGAGCAGTCATTCTCTGCTACGAATGCACCTACTCAGCTTGTAAAAGCTGCACCACTTCAGAAGAAACGATCACCAAAGAAGAATGATGTTGATTCAGACTCTGATGATCTTCTAAGCAGTGTCTTGCAAGGTCCCACACAAGTAGTGGAGTATTCTTTGAAGGCATCAAAAGGTATGTTTATAACCATTCGTACATCTTCGCTATTTTTACTAGAGAATTAAGTTTATCAACAGAATAGCGTGCTGACTCTTTCCTATTTTATTTCCAAATAAAATCCCAGATCGGTTATCAGCCATGAAAAATGTGCTAATTCCTTCGGTATGATAAATAGGAAATGATCTATTCTCTATGGGCTCTGCTTTCCTGATTTATCCTTATATGAGGACTATTATTAGAAAATAACTAGATTCTGGAGTATAGAAAATTAAGTCATCTGTAGAGCCTTCAATTTCAGGTGACTTAAAACTTTTCTCTAGCTAATTTTTGGTAAAATTTGCTTCTATGGTATCTAAGGCTGCATAAATTTAGCCCTAAATGAGTTTTGGCAGATTTACTGTAATCTCAGCTGCTTTGTGAGAGTTGTGTGTATTTTAATTTTTGTCCCGATAATTTCTGATTTCTCTTTTACACTTTATTAAACATTAGTCCGCATGGACATTTGTCGGAGGTTTAGTATAGCTCATGTAGCTAGATAAGTGAGGTTATGCTTGGGATATGGCGTTGTTGAAAGATAGCATTGGAAGGTAGATTATGAGACTTTTGTACATGGATAATTCTCATATTATGGATTGTTAATAAGATGATAGTATTGAGTCATAGCAAGAATTAAAGAGATTGGAGTAGAAAGCTTAGGATGAGTTTAAATATCATTTTATAAGTATAAGTCGCTTTTAAGTAACAGATTAAGCATTCTAAATATCAATGCCTACTCACATTGTTTAATGAAAAACTCAAACCACTCTTGTCTACCTCTATTACAACTTCTCAAACCTCCTCTTACATATTCCTCTCAAAACTTCTTTTAGGCGACCGCCAGCCTTCCCAATCCCCACCAGTCGATCCAGAACAAATCCAAAAATCTCAAGAAGAGAAATCGCCCAAAAAGCCAAAACCTTCCAAAGCCCGCACAAAGCCTCAAGAAGAGAACAAGAAAGAAGGAAGGGTCCTTCCTTCCTACTTCGGGGAGGGCTCAGAACCTCTTGTACAGAGGAAGAAGAGGTATGAAGATTTGTTAGTGGAAAGTGAGCAAGAATATGAATCAGATGGTGACTATGACTCAGGGGACACAGAGGAAGTGAAAGAAGTACCAAAGAAGAGAAGAGGAGGGAGAAGGAAGAATGTAAAATCTTCGAAGAGATCTCCAAATCCAGCTAGAAAAGCGAAAAGAGTCAAGAAGAAGGAACCTGAAGATGCAAATAAACTTATAATCATTGGTAAGAGACCAAGGAGGAAGCCAAAGCACTTACTTGATTAACAAAATTCTAATTCTTAACCAAAATTTTATGTAAAGTTCTTATATAGTTATTTTCAGGGCTTCTCATTGACAAAGGGGTTTTGGGGTTTTGGGGTTTTGGGG